TTTCTTTGTGTCACTTCAGTCATTTTTCTGAAGTAATTTTTGGCTGCCTTTAGTGCATGAACATTAGCCTGTGTGCCTCAGACCTACTGTAACAGTTGTCCTCCACCTGCTATGGGGCAGTTACCGAGTGTCGACTTTTTTTTCATCTGTTGGTTTCTGTTCTTTTCTGGACAAGCAGAAATCAGCGCTCACTCCCGTGGGCTGTGGTCTCCGGCTCATGCTAGTCTGTTCTTGTTGGTTGAAAGACAGGCGACTCGGGCTCATTCCCAGGCATTGGCCACATTTTACTACCCTTTTCATTTAGATTTTAAGTCCTTGTCTTCTGATGCTGGATTTCAGAATTGAGTGTCTTCTCTTACATGGTTTAGGGTAGGCGTAAGGTGTTCCTCATTGTGACACCTGAGAGAGAAGTCAGTGAAGGGGAAAAGCTTTTGTCTTCTGCTTTTTTTGTATTTTTTAAAATCAGTTTTAAATTGAAAATAAATAACAGGTAACTCCTAAAGGAACAGGGTTACTTAGAGTTTCAGGAAGGTGTCTTAGACCTTCCCTGGGAAAACAGACATTTTCTTGTTGGGTAGACTCTTGCAGCTCCAGAGAAGCGTTGTCTGCCGAGATTCGGACCTTCCCGACGAGCTGCTGTATGGCCGGGCAGGGTATCTGTACGCCCTACTCTACCTGAACACGGAGATTGGGCCAGGCACCGTGTGCGAGTCGGCCGTTAAAGAGGTATCGTGGGGTCACCGACAACTGCAGGCGTCCTCTCAGCCCTCCCATTCAGACATGTCGGTCAGCATAGTTAGAGCAGAGGCTGGACTCCACTCCCATGCGACAGTAACTTCCCAAAGCATCTCATACGTTTTGTGACTAGCTCCTTTCTATCCTTCCTAGGAATTTTTTTCTTTTTTAAATCTGCACTCCCCTTAGGCCTGTATCCATTCGGCTGTTTTTACTAGACTCAGACAACCAGGGCTTCAGAAAGATAGAATGTTTCTCTCTCATGGGATGTCTGAACTGGTAGGCGGTCCTGGGAAGATGGCGAGGGACCCCTCTATCTTGTTCTGCCGTATCCTGCGGGCATGTCCTTGTCTGTATGACCAAAGCTAGTTGAGCACCGTCGCCCAGGACACAGGTGAGGCAGTGGAAGATGAGCTGCTTCCTTTTTAAGGCCAAGAACGAGAAGTTTCCCACCTTCCTTCTGCTCACATCCCACTTACAGAACGTAAGTCATGTGACAGTCCAGCTGTTTCGGGCTCAGAGGTCAGGAGCCCAGCCAAAACTTGGACCACAGTTACCAAAAGTATGAAGGGAGTCAGGGTATCAGGAGCCAGTCAGTGTCTGTGCCACAGCCTCATTACAGGTGTGCGAGTCTTCATCTGATCTAACTGAAGTCCTGCACACCACAGTGACCTCATGTCACAGCCTTTCCCACACACGGCCGGTTCCTGCAGCCTTTCCCACACACGGCCGGTTCCTGCAGCCTTTCATGGGAGATCACCAGTCTTTTGGGGAAAACATAGCTACAAAGCAACTAAGTAGTCTAGAATATTCTTTATAGGAAGCTTTTCTAGATTCTAGTAAACTGTTTATACAGACAACTTTTGATTCCTGGTCTGACTTCTTGTCTTTTTCTACCCTGAGGTTGTCTTTTGTTTTCTCTATGCCTATATTTCTTAATTTACAAAATAAAGATAACAGTGTTGGCTACTGAGTGCTTAAAGATTTCTAGATTATCCAAAGGCATGTTGTTAGTGGTCATTAAACTAAAATAGAATGTAAGTTTTTAGCCGTAAGCTGCGTCATCATCCCTGTAGGTCGTCACTGCTATCATTGAGTCCGGCAAGGCTCTGTCCCGGGATGAAAGGAAGACTGAGCGCTGCCCCCTGCTGTATCAGTGGCACAGAAAGCAGTATGTGGGAGCAGCCCACGGCATGGCCGGGATTTACTACATGTTGATGCAGGTAAGTGAGAGTGCTCTGAATACTGATATAGTATAAAATAGCAGATCAAATAGGAAAACGGAGCTAAAACTTTTATGTAGGCCACGCAGGCTGAAATGAAACCAGGATCCTCCTTTGAGTCATGATGCCTAAGCTCTGCTTCACACCCCCCGAGCAGCGGACTCCTGGGAGCATAGTCGGTGATGGCTTTGTACAGATCAGGTGCCTGCCGCCCGCACTCTGTGTCCTGCTGCTGGTGGAAGGAGTTGCTCTTCCAACAGGGAGAAGCTCCCGGGAGCACGCGGGCCTCGCAGTGTCCACCGTGCCCTGGATGAAAACAGAAGCTTATCACTTTACTCTCTGCTGAGACCATAGAGTTGGTATCTGAAGGGAAGCTTACTTACCATAAATACTGTGGACTCTGAGGATGTGGAAGATGTTTTTCAACTTTAATTGTCTGTAGGATGAATTATTTACGTAAATTCCTTGTTTGTGTAGACTTCATAGAATAAGCATCTTTAAGCTTTATCATTGCCATTGTGTACAGAAAGAGACTAAAAATACAAGTGTGTGAATGTAAAAAACACCACCACCCGACCAGGGCAGGGACCTCTTCATACTCAGACACCCCAACCTGCTGTCAGTCGGGTTCCAGGTTTCTCGCTGGTTCACTGTTGAGGTTGGGATCCCGTCCCGCAGTCTTCGCTGAATCTGCGGGACAAGTCCTGACTCCCCCGCCAGGCAGGCCGAGGCCCCGCCCCAAATATCGCTCCAACGCCCCTCCAGCCTTAAGGCCTACCCTGCCTCTCCCTGTCCTGTGTAGGTATTTGAAAGGCCCCTTTACGACAGCCAGCCAGCCCTCTGTGGTGGTTTGCCAGCTTTGTGTGTTCACTTGGTATTTAGTCACGGTGCCGAGAGACGTGGTCAGACGTTATTCTGAACAGGTCTGTGAGACATTCTGGGTGAGATTTATATTAAATGGGTGGACTTAGTGAAGCAGTCTGCCCTTCCGGGTGGCTGTGCCTTATCCATGCAGTCGAAGGCCTCCCCCGAGAAGAGAGATTCCCCAGGAGATGCCTGCAGACTTCAGCTGCAGCATCAGAGCTGAAATAAAACAGCCCTGCCCTAGCGTTAAATGACCCAATGATTGAATTAATGCTAATTTTATATGCGTCAGTATTACCTCAGTATTCCAGGTAACTGGTACTTTATTAGCCACAGTACAGAGATTTTTTTAAAAAAATAAACTTTAGAAAAATAGATTGAATGTTTTATTTTTGTTTGTTTAAAGCCAGCAGCAAAAGTGGACCCAGAAACCCTGGTGGAGATGGTGAAGCCCAGCATCGATTACCTGCGCCACAAACGCTTCCGCTCCGGGAATTACCCGTCCTCGCTAAGCAACGAAACGGACCGGCTGGTCCACTGGTGCCACGGGGCCCCGGGGGTCATCCACATGCTGATGCAAGCTTACAAGGTCAGTGTCCCCACGGCCACGGGCGCCCGGGGTCCAGTCCCGACACCCTGTCCTCAGCACCGGCTCCTCGGTCTGGCTCGGTCGGCATTGCCATTCGGGAAACTGTGCTTTAGAATGACCTGCAGTCACGGGCTCCGCGGAGGATGGTGGTGGACGGACAGACGGGGATGGTCGGAGCTGCAGCGGGAGTGGCTGGTGGTGTGTCTGTCCCCAGGGCCGTGCAGTTTCCTAGCCAGGAGGGGACTTTGTCGCTAACTTGCCCTGAGAGCCCCGCTGAGCCCTGCTGCTCTCACCACCAGGTGTTCAAGGAGGAGAAGTACCTGAAGGAGGCGCTGGAGTGCAGCGACGTGATCTGGCAGCGGGGCCTGCTGCGGAAGGGCTACGGGGTCTGCCACGGGACCGCCGGGAACGGCTACTCCTTCCTGTCCCTCTACCACCTCACCCAGGACAAGAAGTACCTCTACCGGGCTTGCAAGGTGAGGGCGGCCGACCAGACAGCGTCTGGACACTCCAGGCAGAGTCCCCTGGCAGCCTCCTGTCACCCTGCGCCCCCGGCTGCACTGCTGCTGCTGTTTCCCGGCACGGCCTGTCCCGGCCTCTCTCCACCGCCCCGGAGTGGGACCCACGCTCCTGGGTTCACGGAGCCGGGGCCCTCGCCCCTCCTCTCCCCCGCGTTCCGGCCTCCACATTGCCCGCTCCCTCCTGCCCACCTCTCCAGCGGGCACGCGCCTGTGTCCCCCCCGAGCATTGTGCCAGCTGGTTGTGCCGTCGGAACGACCTTCCCCGAAACCTGCACGGCGACTCCTGAGGGACGCCCGCAGTCTGCCTCCTCCCCAGCTGAGGAGAGGCGGCCTGCGTTCGCCCGGGGCCCGCGCTCCGTGCTCTGTTGCCCACGACCCCCTCTGCTTGCTGGGGCCCCAGGTGAAGCCGTCGTGATGTCTCGTTGCCTCTTCTCCGGGTGAAACCTCCAGCCCTGAAAAGATGTATCTTCTTAGTTTGCAGAGTGGTGTCTGGATTACGGAGCCCACGGGTGCCGCATCCCGGACAGGCCCTACTCCCTCTTTGAAGGTGAGGGGGGCTCTAGGTGTTGGGTGCGTGGGTCTGGCCCCCCCGTCCCTGCGTGACGGTCACCGATACCTGTGACACTGCTTGGGTGACGACTCCGCAGCTGACGACACAGTAGTTTATTGCTGAGGAGCCCACCGAGCCTCTTTACGGCCCCCGTTCCGTGCTCCTGCGAATGTCTTCCAAGTGCCTTGGGCCTCTTGTGAAGCAAACGTGCGGACAGGACGGGGAACGTTGGCTCCTTGGGGACGGCGGCGATAAGCCGCAGCCTCTGTGTTCCCGGTGCGGGGTGGTGTGTGTCTGTCACGGGGACCTCGTCAGTTACTTACGTGTATTTAATTGCTCAAGTCATATAAAGAAGTGTGACTAATTAATACTAGCAATTAAAAAGCAGTAGTAATTAGAAATAGTAGTAGTTGGAAAAAGTAGTAAGAGAATATTGAAGAAAGTTCTGAAAAACAAGAGCAGTGACAGGAAGTCAACAAACAGTGTTAACAGCCTGCTGCGGGCACAGCAGGTAGAATGTAATTCAGGAGAGCAAGACACGTTCCACAGGGGGGCCGCCCCTTTATTCCTGGGGGGACGTGTGCGTGTGTGCGTGTGCGTGTGTGCGTGCGCGTATGTGTGTGCATGTGAGTTTTACCTGGGGTGGCCCCTGACAGAGGAGGTGGTGAAGGTCGCTGTGTGTCCCCTCGGCGCCGTCGTAAAGGCCCCCGTCTGACCTTGCAGGCATGGCTGGCGCCATCCATTTCCTCTCCGACATCCTGGTACCCGAGACCTCACGGTTTCCGGCGTTTGAACTTGGCTCTTCGCCGACGGATAAAAAGGTGTAAAAAGACTCCTAAGGGACCCTTTTGGACCAAAAGCCACAGACTGCTCAGTGCCTGACCGAGAACCAGCTGTGCATCCCGAGAGGGCCAGGAGAACAGACACGGCTCAGGCCCCCGTGTGCGGAGACCCGCGACCCAGAGCATGAGTGACAGCTCCTCCCTCGAGCCCTGTGCTGCCACGGCCCCCTCGCGGTGCCCACCCGGTTCTCACACCCGGCTCCCTAGCGTTTGCATGTCTCGTGGCGTTTGTTGTTTGTATGTGTCAGTCGTGCTAAACAGAAAGCCCTCCTGTGCCCCGGGCGCAGCTGACCCTGGACCTGGGCGGCCCCCTCTGTAAATAACCCTCACGGTGGAGCATCGTCTGCGCTAACGTGCCGGGAGCATCGGGAAGATGCCCTGGTGACACCCAGTTTTCAGCACTTCTGTGTGTCCCTTTCAGGCGAGCGTGAGGCAAGGGCCACTCCCAGCTGAGAGGCCGAGCTGAGCGGGTTTGGCTGGAACGGTTGGAGGGCGAGGCCTTCCCACAAGTGTTTTTGTGCTCACCTTGGTGTTGTTTGTTGTTGTGGTTTATTAAATTTTTCTTTTAATCCTCCCCTGAGGACACACGTTGGTTGACTTGAGAGGAGAGGGGGAGAGGAACATGGATGTGAGTGAGCCATCACTCAGCTGCCTCCTGTAGGCGCCCGACCCGGGACCAAACCCACAGCCTTGGGGTGCGCGGGATGACACTCCAGCCACCTGAGCCACCCGGCCGGGCTCCCCTTGGTGTTCCTGAGAAGCTGGGGTGCCTCGCATCTCGGGCTCCCGACCTCAGCAGGGTCCGGGTCTTTGCTCGAAGTCCCTGGGCTCCTTGGGGTCCTGGCGAGTGGCTGCAGGACGTGAGGGACGGCAGTCAAGGAAAAGCCCCTCGTGACCACGCTGTGGACTGGGCAGCAGCGACGGGCATGGGCACTTCTCGGCTCACTCTGCGCTACTAGAGCAGGTGCACCTCCATCCCATATCGTTCCCCGTGTTGTTTTCAGTTCAGTGGATAAAATTCCAGAGGGTGACAAGCAGAAAGTCTTCCCCTGGTCCTCTGTCCCCTCAGAACTCCGTCAGTTACGAGTTTGGGATCAACACAGTTCCTGCACTTTGTCCGCTGTGTGAGCGATGACAGCCTCGCGTGGGGAAATGTGTTCGGCATAAGGCGCTGGTCTTCATTTATGCCCATGGGCAACTGTCCTACCGAGAACCTGTGGTACCTGACGTTTATTTAAAACGGGCGCCACTTTGGATTAGCGTGCACTCGGTAATTCTGAAACAGTCCCGTGTTTAGGAGGGTTTCTCCCCGTGGGAGGGTTGGTCTGGAGCTTGTCATCTGGCGAGCGGAGGCCGGGTCATGAAAGAAGCAGGTCTGGGTGCCTGGCCCTTGTCTAGATGCTCATCAGCTGGTCCCCCCTCCACTCCTCCCTCAAAGGAGGAAGATTGACGTAGAAGACGAGTGTCCACACCCGGGCTCCTAGGGTGTGGCCCAGCTGCGCGGGGCTGACGCTGACGTGGCCCATCTCTAAATGGTGCAGGAGCCCTCGTCACGGACACTCGTTTCTAAGTCACGACCGTTTCCTTTCACGTTGGGTTGACCTCCGCGATCGCAGAGCCTCGTGGCTGCATTCTAGCAGCTGTCCTGGGCCTGCTCACCGCCTCTCGGGCGGCCCGGGCTGTCACCTGGAGGTGATGCCGTCACCAATGAGCTGGGCTCAGCCAGGTCACTGGCGATCCTGTCAGAGTATAGATGACACTTTAAAAGAGTTTTGTTGCAAAAGAGGAAAGAAATGGGGCCGTGGTGAGAGAAATTGGATCAAGAAAATACTTTTTTAAGTTCAGAAAAATAGCATGTTTGTAAGTGCCTGGGCGAGACCCGGTGGGCAGCTGTTGAAAATGTGACAAGGACCAGAAACGAGGAGAGGAGACGGGAGCTGCGCCTGCACACAGGCCGGCCGGCCCAGAGCTCGGGCGAACCGCGTCCCTGGTTGGCAGATGGGCGCAGACGCGGGTGGGCGTGGAGGTGGTGGTGGGAGCGGCGAGTTCTGGCTTCTTCAGGGTTCTCAGAGGCAGCATCTGCTGGGCAGAGGTGTCGGAGGAGGTGCGGGGACTGGGGGTGCAGGAGAAAGGGAACGTCGCCGGGAGGGAGGGAGAGTGGATGAGCTGTTCTCAAGTGTCGGGTGCCCAGCAGCCACTGGGAGGGTTTGTTTAAACGCGGATTTCTGGGCTGGGTTGATGGAGTAGGTCTGGGTGNCGGAGGGTTTGTTTAAACGCGGGGTTTCTGGGCTGGGTTGATGGAGTAGGTCTGGGTGGGGCCTGACGTTTCCTCTCCAGTCACAGGGTGGTGCTGATGCTGCTGGTCTGGGGACCTGACATGTCAGGAACACATGCCCCTGCTTCTCCTGGTTCTCTGGTCACCTTAGAAAGGCTGGTCTGGAGACAGGGTGCCTGGCACGATGGCATCCGGGGCCCATGTGGTTGTGGACATAAGGGAGACCCACAGCCTGGGGCCAGGGCTTGGGTAATGCCCGGGTGGCTCCTGCCGTCCTTGCTGTGGGCTCAGGGCTCATGTACTTTCGGTTCTGCCTCCCAGGGTGGTTGGGGGGGATGAGATGAAATAACCCAAGTGAAGAACCGAACANCTACATTCGGTTCTGCCTCCCAGGGTTGTTGGGGGGATGAGATGAAATAACCCAAGTGAAAAACCGAACACCATGTGCGTGTTCACAAAGCAAACGTGACCTTCACTGAAGTGAGGGGTTAAGTGATGACCTCAGATGATGCTCGAGGGGAAAGGGTGGCAATGGGGGACCGGCTGACTCTGCAGCTCGCACTCCCTGGGAGCAGCAGGCCGGCCCCACCCCCAGGGAAGGCAGCTTTCATGGTTTTTTTGTGACTCCAGCCCCATATCCCCGTTTTTTTCTGGAATCTCAATCCTCAGGGAGCTGCCTGCGCCTCCCACTTTGGTGCCGAGCTTCAGCCGCACACACCCACAGACGGCCGGCTCTGCCAGGGAGCCGCAGTATTTCATTTAAAATCAGCACATTCTGAGTCATCGGTAACGTTTCCCGTGGCCTACTTGAGGGCTACAGCCAGTGACTCCCCATTCTTTATCCTGGGCTCTCCGTCTAACGGGTTAAGCTCCTGAGAGCACACCTCTAACGCACAGTATCGAGTGTTGAGCGGGGCGCTGTGGGAACCCTTGGCAACCCCGTTGCATTTGGCGGGCTCAGCCGGCCCTCACAGAAGCCCCGCGGCGGCTTCCCTGACACAGCACCTGTGGGGCAACTCGGGGTGGGGGGCTGCCCAGGGTCATCCGTCCACCTGGTAAGCTGCGGGGCACAGATCCCACCAGACCCGAATTTACAGAAGTAGCACAGATCAAGGATGCACACGGACCTAACTCCCACTCTCGGCGAAGGGTGAGGGCAGGGGAGGGAGATGAGCTATTAGAACACGCGGTAAAGTGACCCCACAACATCTTAGTGCAGGGACAGCGAGCGTGTGCTGCGAACCTAAGCATTAGGTCGCGCACGGGAGCCTTACATTTCCGTTTTATACTGTGTTCAAACAAGCGTGGTTCTCGGGGCTTCCACCTACGATGTATCTCAAGGACCAGGATGTAAGCGTTACTGCTGGCCCCCAGCCAGCGAGCCCGGGCGAGGACCCTCAGCGCCACCCGGAGACCAGCAGACACTGCGTTCCTGCTGATGGAAACACACCCGCCACCTCCGAGCTGTTCCTCAAAACGGGGCCTGAGCTGATCACGCTTCTCTGTAGGACTGCCAGTGTACGCGAAATGCAGATCCCGTGGAGACGCGAACTGCAAACTCCACACGGTGGTATAGACAAAGACATGGTTTCTATTTTTATTTTTTAAAATATTGATTTCAGAGAGAGGAAGGGAGAGGGAGAGAGAGAAACATCAATGATGAGTCATTGATCGGCTGCCTCCTGCACGCCCCCTGCTGGGGTTCGAGCCCACAACCTGAGTGTGTGCCCTGACCGGGAATCGAACCCCGATCTCCTGGATCCTAGGGCAGTGCTGAACCACCGAGCCACGCCAGCCGGGCAGGACGTGGTTTTTTAAAAAGCAAAGAGAGAAAAAGGAGATAGAGATGTCTAACTGCAGAATCAGCTCAAAAATGCTCCTGTCCTGTTTATGGAGATCCCGAGTTGCTTTTCAGAGATAAGAGAAGAAAACAAATGTTGTGTAGCCAAAGCACGTGCGGAGGAGAGAACTTTGACCTCCAGCTGCCCGGGAACCGAAGCCTCGCCCTCCCCTCCCCAGTGTACGGAACCAAAGGGGCGCAACCGGAACTTGCAACACTGGAACCCGGAGAAGGGTGGGCTGTCCGGGAGGATCTGGTGCTGACACCCCTGAACCACTTTTCACAATTAATGACGTCAACAGTTCAGGTCCCAGTGCCTCCCGAGGCAGGGTGCCCTGAGAAACGGGCTTCAGGCTCACTGATTTCTGCAGCCAACCCTCGGCTTCCGTGGGAGACAGGTGGGGACAGGGCACCTCCACCTCCCTGGTGTCTAGGACACCTGCCACCTGCCCGTGGCCACCCCTGCTCAGCATACCTGCCAGGCCTCAGCGTGGAACCTTCTCTAACAGCTCTCATCTCCCCAGACGCCTCCTCTGCACAGATGCAGCTCCATCTGCTCAGATCCGTCGTCTTCTAGTTCAGAAACCTCTCAAAGTTTCTGTTCTTGCACCTTTGTGCCTTGAGAGCCACTATGGACTTTTTGAAGTTCCATGCGAGAGGCAGAAAAAAGCGAGCACTGGGTTTACCATCTCCGGTCATGGCCTCGGCCTCGTAGCCCATCGTTCTGGGGGAAGCTGAGGGCCAGCTGCGCTGCCCGGGTGAGGCGTGTCAAGCCCCGACTTAGCCACGGGCAAGCGGCCTGGCCTCTTCTGGCGCATTTCCTGTCCTGTCTGAAGACGGCCCGTTACGAAACGCTGCTTTCCAGCGTCGTCTCCGAGATTGCTTCACCTGCAGCGCAGCTAACTGCGGCAGATACCCCTTCACGAGGCCCGACACACAGTTCCTGGCCAGCGAAGCTGTCTGCGGTCACGGCTGCGGCCTGTGGGGAGCAGTGCAGGCCCCGAGCAGTGTCTGTTAGCTGCGGGTTACTCATTAATGCTGCCCCCGCCTGCCGCAGACCAGTTTTCCTCAGCCCGATTTTTAAAACGTGTTCATGAACCCAAACTTCTTATGGTCTCCGATAGCATCTAACGGCCGGTTCTCCCGAGACTGGCCGCGTCACCACCCACCCGGCCCCCACCTGGCCGAAGGCACCACCCGCTGCAGGCGCCTCCTCAGGCGGTGCTTCACCTCCGCCCTCTCCCGAGCCCCAGCCAGCCAGCCAAAGCACACGTCCAAATTCAATTTTATTTTGCAGACATAGGAAACAGGACCCTATCAAAAGAGAACAGAGGAGAGGAGCCGGGTGCTGCGGAGGAGAAACACGCAGGTCTGCTCCGAGTCTCCTCCCCGCGGACCCCACGGGCCAGGAGCACGGCAGGCCTGACCCTCGGCACGAGGACCTCCCACGCGCGGGGTCCGAGTCCTCCCGAGCAGGGTTCGTCCAGGTTCAAGGGAGAGCAAAACGTCTTACACAAACGCGGGAGTAAAAAACTGTGGGGCGCTACTGAACATCCAGTCTCGTAGGATCACTTGCTATCAAAAAGGTACACAAAATTTTGTCATGGACACGTGAGGCCTCTTCACCCACCCACGCGTGGTCCAGGGCCCAGGCAGCTCCCAGTGTGCTCCGTTATTTAAAAAAAGAAAAGCAAAGGGACCAGTGGAAGTTAAAAATGCAAAACCAATGACCTGGAGGAAGGGAATGTTTCAGACCCAGGCTGTTGTCGTTTGTAAACAGCAAATGTGGTGCTTTGTCAACTCATTTCACTCACGGCCCCGGGTGCGGGAGAGCCCGCGGTCAGGGGCGGGAGTTCACAGGTGGCAGGAGGGTTCGTCTGCGCTCATGATGTTTCCCAGGCGTTGGTCGGGCTCCAGGCTTTTCCCGTGGAACTCCCGGGGAGGCTCCGTCTCCATCCTCACAGGACGTCCCTTTGAGCAGTCACGGTGGTCCCGTGTGCCCCCTCCAATGACGTGTCTCGATGCTCCAGTCCAGTGAGTCACAATTTCTCAAGAGGCTCTGATGAGTTCATTTCAAAAGTAGGCTCCCTCCACCCCCCACCCTGCTGTCCGACCACCACACACAGGGATCTACGTGCCTCGGCCACACTGCTCCGCTCCACCCGACAGGTCGCAGTCTGGGCTTAAATACTACACTGCGGTCCCGACTACACCGGGATCAGGACCTCCCTGCTCACCACCCGCAACCCCGGGGACGACCCTCAGCAATCCTGGGGAGAACCCACAGGATCCCGCGGTGAGGCGGGTTTCTTGGCCAGGGTCTGCACCTCAAACCACGTCTTCTTGATTCGAATGTTGATTAAAGTTGTCGGTGAAACCTGTTCGGTACTTTTGGAAGAGATCTACCTGCAGTCCTGTCCTTGTCTTAGCAAGGTCCTCTTCAGGGCCCAACAGGTGCCTGCCGAGATCACACTGGGCACACGCAGCCCTGGCGGGCCCGCCGTGGCTCAGCCGCTGGCCACACCTGCTGAGACGCCTTCTCTCTGAAAGTGTCCTTTACCAAACCCCACGGCAGAGCGGCCTGGGGAAGGGTGTGGAGACCCGAGAGCTGCTGACATTCAGTTGAGACACTTACTGGAGTCAGACCTCAAAGGACAGGGCTCTACACACGTGTGGGAACTTCCATAAATGCACTAAAAAGGGGAGGAACATGATTTTTCCCAAAGTCAGACCAAGAGCTCCTAAAATGCAATGTGCCAGTTGGAGGCAAGGAGCCGTTTCCCATGAACTTAAGCACTTTCCTCCGTGATCTCCAGGTAACTGCAGGCATCCCCCGTGGCCTCGCTCGGACCCTCGGCGCCCCCCGCCCTGGCTGTGGGGAAGGGGCGCCTCCCTCATCTCGGGAAGTGATGGGGACAGAAAAGTGCAGAGTGGCTTGTAGTTCACCAAACGTCCCTGCAGCACTGACCGTGAGGGGCCTCATCCAGCCGACTGCCTGTGTGCGGGGCTCCCCGGCTGGTGGGGGGATCTCCCCAGGGAAGGACACCTGGCCTCGCCCGTGAGCTCACCTGCGCCCTCCCGCGCACGTCGGCCCTCGCTCGCCTGTCCTGAGGATCTGGGCGTGCACCCTAAGGTGCCAACCCTCGGGGACCGTCCACACTCTGCCAAAGCACAAGCTATATCAGACACAGAAGGACACAGGGCGAGTTCAAACATTGGTCACCTAGAGAAAACTGGAGAGGGAGCTGTGCTTGCTTTGACGACATCAAAGAGAAACAAGAGGAACGTGCCCTTGGTGGCTCCCAGGCCATTCCGGAAGCGAGCACTGACGGAGACAGGGACGGCAGCCAGGGAGGCTCGGGCTGCATGCCCCCTACTTGGCCTTCACCACCTGTTCGTAGGGGGGCGGGGGCGTGTTGCAGTAGGAAGGCGGCGGAGGGTAGGCCACGCTCCCGTGGGGTGAGTTGGGCTGGACCTGGAAAGCCATCGCCACGGGATTCCCGGCAGGATTCATCCCCGCTCCTCCGGGGTCGGTGTAATAGGGCAGCCCCGGCGGCTGGGCTCCTGAAAGACAGAGAGCGGATGTGAGCGCCCACCACCCATCGCCCCAGAGCATCCCCGGGATGGCCGGGCCCTGGAGACCGCCGCCTGGATCAGCCACCAGCAGACAGGAGTCGGGCCCACACGCCCAGACACAGCGGGAGCCAGGACAAGGTGGTGAGCCACAGCAGGTCGCTGGCCTCAGGCAGCTTCTAACCTCCTGGGGTGCAGACGGCTAGCGGCACATGCTCGGAGGGAGGCCAGGTGACAGGAGGGACGGGACAGCAGCAGTGTGGGGCTCGGGGCGAGGTGGGGGCTCGGAACTCGCCGAGGACCGGGTGACCCACCCCGGCAGCTCTGCAGAGACCTGGGGGGCATGTGCCGGGAACATGGCCAGCAGAGCTCGCCGCGTGCACTCGAGTCAAGAAAACCGGGGCCGCGAGGGCAGTCACCTCACAGCTGTTGTGGCAGGAACTGGCTTCCTGAGCCCCCTTGGCAGCTCTCAGCCCTCGAGAGCCATCTGCTGAAGCTCAGTTCAGAAGCACGGCCCCCTCCTCTCCTTCCCACTGGCTGTGCAGACATCTGATCGGGGGGGTCACCTGTCATCCAGGTGAGCCCAGGTTCAGACAAGGAGACAACCCGTGGGGGTGCCAGCAGGGGGGGCTGGTGCATGGGTGCACTTTGTTTGCCTTTGATGTTGGCGGGGGGGTGGCTCTTCTCCAAGGTGACCCCCGTGTCAGCCAGGGTGCAGTGGGTCAGAG